AAGCCACCGCCGGTGGTCCCGAGCAGGGTGACCGAGCCCGAGCCCCTGAGCGCCGAGCCGGAGCCGGCGCCGCCTGTGGTGCCCGAGCCGGACTTTGGCATCCCGCCGGGCGGCAGCAGCTTCCCTCTCCCCGGATCGTCAGCATTTGGCGCCGAGCTGCCGGCTGCGCCGCCTCCGGACCCATCGGCCTTTGCCACCATCAACTTTGAGGATATCGGCGCCATCCCGATGGCCCCGCCCGACACTAGCACCGATGAGCTCCGCGAGCTCATCCAGGACCTTCGGACTGAGGTCGCCGATGTCCGCCTGGACCTCCAGAGCTTCAAGTCTGAGATCACGTCCCTCCTCGCCACTTCGCTCGAGACCATCCGTGATGAGATCATCTACACCTTGGGTGGCACCCCGCTCGAGCAGCCGCTCGGCCTTACCCCGCTCAAGTAGGAGTCGCTCGATGACGTCGCACCGTACCGCAGACGAGAGAAAAGCTCACCCACGCTCCACAGACTTGTCTCTCCCCTCCCCCTCTCCCTCTCTCTCCCCCCCTCCTACGCGATCCACCCTAACCGTAGCACCCCACACCTACCGCCTGCTTCTCTCCCTGGTCCATCCTCTCTGTACGCCATAGCCTCGCCAGCTCCTGCAATTCATCATTGTTCGCCGTCTTTTGTTCTCTCCTCCGCCGCCCCGCACCACACAATCGGCTCCCTACGCTTCCCAGACACAGCTATGTCAAGCTCGTTTTCAGTCATGGTGTGCTAACGTAATTGCTACGCTTTGCTGTCCTTGGGCCATGCATTGAACGGTCATGGCTCCCACACCGACCAGAGTATGACGCTGTGGCTCGGATGCCAAAGATCGCCCGTCAATTTGGCAACAACCGTGAGCCACCCACTGGTTTACGAGCAGGATGCTCACTGCTCTGTCATCCCGCACTCGTGCCACAATACGCCGCCGTCCATGAGAATGTTGCGAACCGCTTGTGGTTGATGGATTGTGCCGAGATAGCATTGTCCGGAAGTCATCACGTCGATGACGGCTTGAGCGCCGATGATGATGACCATGATGATGATGATGATGATGATGATGGTGATGATGATGATGATGATGATGATGATGATGATGATGATGAGTACCATGACGATGATGAGTACCATCAGTAACTACTCGTCTCTTTTCTGTTTTCATCGTGGCGGTGAAGCGGGCGAGCGATGCGGTGGGAAGGTGGACGGGGCAAACGAGTGCGACTCGGCAAACGAGCGAAAGTGAAGAGTGTGACGGACGGGTCGACGACGGTGGGCGCCACGTGACTCACCGACAAGGCGAGTATGGAAGGTAGAGAAGAGGCAGAAGAGTGCTGGTCTCGGTGGAAGATGATTATTACAATATGGATGTGTATGTGTATTGTCGGCGTTGTAGGAGCAGCTGCTGGCTCGTTGGTGGCTGAAATGCAAGCCGTCCCCTCTGGCTGCTCCCTCGGAAGGGAGAACATTGTGGTCGAAGATAGCCATGTGCTCCTCTGCTGTCCACGTCTTTATGGCCGCCTCTGGGCAATGTTCCATCTCAGACTCTCTTCGCCACGTAACGATTCTTTTGCTGTTCAAGTCATCTCCAAATGGCTGCCATCGTCGTCGTCGTCGTCGTCGACATCATCTCCGTCATCGTTGTGGTCACCTTCACCGCTACTGTTCTCGCCTGCTACACAACACCATCAGGCGATGTCGTCGTCGGCAAGATGTACGCTACCAGAAGCAGCAGCGCTAGAGGCAGGTGCTACCGAGACGGCTGTGTGGCGGAGTCTGGCGCCGTCCAAGGATGAGGTGGGCGTAGTGGAGGCCAATGGCAAGTTTCCGGCCATGCGGCCGTGGATGGCTGCCAGTCGTGATGGCGGAGGCCCGCATCCGGACGTTGCAGTGTATGCAGTCCGGGTTGTGTGCCGGAACTGGTTCAAGCCGTGCCGCATCGTCGTGAGCCATGCAGAGGTGGACCAGCCGCATACAGGGATTGTGCCGAGGAGCATCGCCGCGATGGCGGCGGCTTGGTCTGGCGGCTTGGCATGGATTGCAGTGTACGGGCCGGGCTTGTTGCTGGCGGCAGCAGTGGTGCTCGCGCCGCGACGCTCGTGGAGTATTGCGCGTTCGCTGCGTGACCGGGTGCTGGCGGCAATTGTTCCTGCCGCGCATCGGCCGGCGGTGGTGCTTGCGCTGCGCGAGCGGCGGTGGGTGCGGGCGCTTAGCGAGGCCACACCGGACAATGACGACGATGCAGCAGCACCGCAGCTGCGGTTGCTCGGACGCAAGGTGGAACCCGCCGAGGCAGAGGCGCTCCAGCAGATGCGCGCGGTGTATGCGCAGCGACGGACGGCACTCGCGGCGCGGGCGGTGCGCGGAAGTGCGCCGCGGGTATGGGATGTGGCGGACACGTCGGTGGAAGCAGTGCTAGGGTATGTGGCCCGGGCTCGCGATGCCGAGCTCCGAGCACCGGTGCTTGCGGTCGGACTGGAGCCGCTGGGCGAGGCTGCGGCTGGTATGGCAGCGGCGCTTGCTGAGGACGAGTACTCGCAGTACGTGCGGCACACGGCGAATGGACTACTGCCTGCCCGCGACCTGGCGGCAGCGCGGGCGCTCGGCGCGTTTGCTGGCAAGTGCTTTGCTGAAGGAGTCAGCTTTCCGCTCCGCTACGCCGCAGACGTCTACCGCGAGCTGGTGGCGCGGCCCGATCGCGGGCGGGCGGCTTTGAGCGAGCTTGACGGTGGCATCGGCGCGTTTGTCAGCAGCTTTTGGCGAGTGGCCGATAGCGGAACTGGACTTGCTGAGGTAGTGCGGCTGATGAGCGCCGAGGCAGTGGCAACGCTTGTGTTGAGCCCGGCGGTTGTCGATCGGCGGAGCGTGGTAAGCGCGCTGCAGTGGCGACGCGGGCGGGATGACGGCGAGGCGCAGAGGTGGTTGAGCGAGCTACTGGTCTCGCTCGACGAGGCTACGATGGCGCTGGTGGCGGTCGCGGTGTTTGGGCGCGAGGTGCTGATGAGCGGGAAGCCCGGTGGGCGGGCGGTGGTGGCGCTCGGTGGGCGACTGGCCATGGTGAGACGTGGCGTTGTGGTTGTCCCCCACGCTGCAGCCAACCAGGCCGAGTTCAACTTGCTTGTCGTCTCTGCGCTCGGACTGGACGGTCTACGGCTGGCGTGCTGTGTCTGCCAGTACGAGGCGCGCGAGAGTGAGGGACTGCGATGCGAGGCCGGGCACTTTGTTTGTGCGCTCTGCTTTGACCAGTCTGTCCGAGTCCAGGTGGCACCCGAGTGCCTGGGGCAGTTCCGGGCAGCCGGCGCGCGCATTGTCTGCCCGCTCTTTACGGGCGAGCGAGGCGGGTGCACCGCGTCGCCGTTTACGATCGAAGAAGTGACGGGATGGGGAGGCGAGGCAAGCCGGGCGTTCCTGGCTGCGCGCGAGGCAGTCCGTGAGGGAGCCATGACCGAGCGGCTGGAGCAGGAGTTTGAGGACCGGCTGGCGCAGCGGATGGAGCGGGCGTTGGCGCAAGACGCCGAGTCGCAGGAGGTCGAGCGGGCAGCGCTGCATGTCCAGAACCAGATCCTCACCTTGCGATGCCCGTCGTGCACGACTGCGTTCTTTGACTACGACGGATGTGCGGCGCTGCGGTGCGGGGCGTGCCAGGCCACGTTCTGCGCCCTCTGTCTCACCGCTTGCGACAGCTCGAATGCCACCCACCGGCACGTCCGGACCTGTGACCTCAATCCCAACCCGGGCTCATACTTTGTCCAGGCAGCGCAGTTCGAGGCTGTCCATCGGGTCCGCAAGCGTGACCTCCTCGCCGCCTACCTCGACACCCTCCCATACCACGTGGCGCAGCGGGTCCGCCACGAGCGACGGACAGACTTTGCGGATCTGTTAGCGTAGTGAAGCAATGAATGGCAGATCCACAGCGGTATGGAGCAGCAGCAGTTCCGGGCAGTGAACGGAGCGGCTTACTCCGTCTGACTGACCAACTGATGATGGTGACCGACTAGATGACAAACCGCTGACGAGTATCATCAATACCGCTTCTTCGTCAGCTCAAAGTCGAAAAGCATCCACGATCCACGCACGCAGGAGCATCATCTTCTCGGCGCGCAGAGCCGAAAGGCGGTTCCGCTTCTTCGTCATCATGTCCGTTGCCACCGAGGTGAGCCGTTCGATGCTGGCAACGGAGGCAAGATCAAGCTGGACATCCACCTCAAATGAGTTCAGCGCGGACCTGTATGCGCACGTAGCCTTGATGTTCTTCTTGCTGATGAAGTGACGCATCGTGGTTGTGGCCTTGGACGAGCGGGAGAGCACCAGTTGTCTCGACTCTCGCTGCACATGTCGTCTGACTCGGGATCTGTGAGTGCGTCGCCGACATCAGCCTCGACGTCATCGGCGTCCTCGACCGGGCGATCAGGACGGTCGACTAGCAGCAGTAGTAACAGCGACAACAACACCAATCTGCGAAGGGCAGAGCGGGCGAGGCGAAGGCAGCGGCAGACCAAGCAGCGGCGGCCATCGCCCGATCTGAGCTCGACATCCGAGGACGAGTTCAGGGGGAAAAATCGCCGTAGCCGGGGCAAAGGCAAAGGCAAGGAGGGCAAGGGCAAGGGCAAGGGCGACCATGGGCGGGCCGATGAGCCTCATGTGGAGCCGCGGTACTATGCACTGCAGAGCAGGGATGAGATCTCGCTCTCTGAACTGCTTGGCGAGGACAGTAGCGGCCTGGATTGGCTCTCGGCGGCGGGGCTGATGCCCCGCCGGCGGCGACGGATTGAAGCTGTGTTGTTCTGCGACGCCCACAACGTGCTCGAGGTCGGCGGCGAGCTCAACGGAGCTGTGGTAGCATTGTTGAACAAGGCCATGGCTGCAGGCGTCTACGTTGTGGTACTCTCGTGGGTCGGCTGGACCTCGCTAGCCAAGGTCGCCCAAGACATTGCCCACATGGCCGCCGGTCTTGGCTCTGGCACCTGCTCCGGCTCTGGTTCTGGCTCCGGCTCCGACTCTGGCTCTGGCGGGCTGCGACTGGACCACCGGGTGCCGATTGTGACATGCACGGGCAATCGAGTGGCCAAGATGGCGCTGGTGGGGATGGTGGCCGACGTACTCGAACAGCCTGTGGCTCTCCTCGATGACTCGGACCGCAATCTCGAGGCCGCCTTTTCAACGAGCAACATGGCAGCTGTGGCCGAGGGCTTTGGCGTGATGCCATCGATCACTGGTCTTTACATGCTGTATGTCAAGAAGGGAACTCGTGCAGAGGGCGGTGTCGTTTCGGGACGACAGTACAAGCGGCGGGTCCGCAAGACCGTCGAGAGCGCGCTCGCCGTCGCCGATCGCTGCGAGGCCGAGGAGGCCGGCGGCGCAGCGTACGTCCTCGCCCACACAGTGATTGTCGCCGACTCGGCCAGGGTCATTCCTCGGCACGGCTTGCCGGACTCGCCGGTAGTCGTCCCCCTCAAGCTCAGGCAGCTGCTCAAGGCCATGGATGGGGCCCAGTAAACGGTGGCAGCATGCTACAGCTCGTCGTTGTCGTTGACGATGTACTCGGAGGGCTTCCTGGCCTTGGGCTTGGCCTTCGCCTTGGCCTTGGGCTTGGCCTTCGCCTTGGCCTTTTGGGCACCGGAGGCAGCCTTCTGGTTCTTCATCTGCTTCAGGATGCGGACCATATTCGGGTCTGTGGCCTGCGGCTTGATCTTGAACCCGAGCTGCTTCTCCAGCTCTGCGTACAGCTCTGCGTTCTCCTCCTGCTGGCTCTGCATCGACTTGATGACAGCATCGATATCAATATCCTCTGGCGAAAAGGAGTTCGGCTGGCCATTGCTGGCACTCGAGCTGGCACCAGCACCATGAGCAGACTCAGCGTCATCGATGGCGTTTGCTGAGATGATGGGCTTGTCCCAGTTGGCCGCCAGCAGCTCAACATACTCGATCTTGTCGGTGCAACCCCGGCAGACCAATCCACGTGCGTCCAGCTCTTTGCGCAGCATCTTGCCACGCATCCGGCGCAGCTCATCCATGGTGGGTGCCTTCCCCTTGCCCATCGCCACCTCCTCAGTCGTCGTCGTGGTCGTTGTCGTCGTCGCCTCTTCAGCCAGACTAATCCTCGTCATTGCCGCCAGTACAGCCACCGTCACCGCCACCGCCATCAGCATCTGCATGTGGTATGTCATAACGTATGTATGTGTGTATGTGGGTATGAGTGGGGTGTGTGGGCGTGGGGTGTGGTGGCCCCATCAGCTGGCTGCCCTAGTTGGGGTTGTGACTGCCCCCAGCCCCGTGCCCCCCCTGTCACTTTGGCCCAGCAGCGGACAGACAACAGGCACATGCTCGCCAGCGCCAACCAGGCACACCCCACTCCCCACACGGGGGAACATGTCAAGTATACACATAGAAGGAGAGTCACGTCGACTGAGTGGTGGCAGTGACGGTGGTGGTGGTGGTGGTGGTGGTGGTGGTGGTGGTGGTGGTGGTGGTGGTGGTGGGCTGGGAGCTGTGGGAAGAGGCACTGCTGGGCATGGGCAGAGGCGGACAAGTCACCGACAGGGCCACGGACAGGGCCACGGACAGGGTCACGGACAAGGTTCCAAGCAAGGTTATGGACAAGATCAACATGATTACAGACACGGGCGGCAAGGTCACGGGCAGAGTCATCATCGACAGGATCAACGTCAGCACGATCATCGTCATCGTTCTCGTCGTCAGGCCGGTTTGGAGACTGACCGGACAGGAGGGGGCAAAGGTGGAGATGAAGATGGGCATGTTGGTGTGCAGTCACCGCTAGTGCTCAAGGGCCGGTAGATCGAGGTGGAGGCCGATCACAGGCGGAACGAGGCCGATCGTATGGAATCGCTTAAGAGCCTGTTTGTTTTGGTACGATGCTGCGTGAGGTCGTGTGCGTGGAGATGGAGACTGCGTAGATGCGTGTGAGAGGGGGGGGAGGGGGGGGGGGGGGGGGGGGGGAGGCAGGTTGTGTGACTCATGGAGGGGAGCTTCTCGGGTGCAGGAACCGCATCCGCTGCTCCACGAGAGCGATGAGTCGGCGTGGGAGATCCAGCTGGCAACCGCACGACAGCGGCACCTACAGCGGATTGCAGAGCGCGAGGCAAAGGTGGCCACGTCGCCGACCAAGCGCGGGCGGTCTCGCTCGCAGTCGAGACCCGGGTCGGGACGAGCGCGGTCGCGGTCGCAGTCGCGCCAGGGCACAACAACCAGTAGTGGCGAGTATGTAGGGCCGGAGAGGACCCGCCGGCGATCCGGCGCGCACGCACCACTAGAAGCCATTGCTGATAGCGACGAGAATGGCGAGGGCGCTACTTTTGCCAAGCCTGTCTTGATTGCGGCAAGAGCAAGACAACATGGCACGCCCAGCTCGCGGGCGAGTAGTGGCGCTTCTGAGACCGAACAGGCGATGGCCAAATGGCAACAGCGAGCGCGGAAGCGGCGGTCCTCCATCTCAATGCTCCCAGGCGACGAGTTCTCCTCTTTGGCGTACTCAGCCCGGGTGACCGGCGGTGGCTCTTCGAGTCTGGCTGCTAGCAGCAAGAAGATGACCAGCTCGTCGAACTCGGTGGTAAGCAGCTCGCGCAGTAGCAAGAGCAGCGGACGGCAGCGGACGCAGCGACGAACACGGACCAAGAACCGAGCAAAGACGCGGACCAAGACGCGGACCAAGACGCGGACCAAGACGCGGACAGGCAGCGAACGCAGCCAGCGCAGCGAACGAAGCGAGCCCGACCCTCCGCGGCTCTGGGCGCGACAGCAGGCGCAGCGACGGGCGGATGATGAACCGTCCATCTTCTCAAAGCGAGCTGCCAAGGACGCAGCTGAGCAACGGCGGCAGGCCCGCGAAAGGGCACATGCCGAGGCTCGACTCACAGTCCAGGCCGAGCGGGAGGCCGAAGAGCGAGCGCGGCGCGAGATCGCTGCGCAGGAGGAGGCTGAGCGCGAGGCGGTGCGGCAAGCGGAGCGGATGGCGCGGATCAAGACCTTTACCGCGCAGCTTGCGTTGGAGCAGGCACAGGAGGCTGAGCGGGCGGCGGCGGCAAAAAGACCGCCGGCGAGCGACGGCTCCTCGAGTCGACTGTCTCTGCACTCATGCACACGGTCGAAGCCAAGCGCAAGGAGTCGAACGAGAACAAGCTCGAGGTGCTCGAACGGATCCGGTCCAAAATGCGTGAGCGCGCCAAGGCTGTCCAATACCGGCGACGGGTCCAGCAGGAGGCCGAGGCCGCGCGTAAGGCCGAGATCAAGGCCGAGCAGGAGCGCCGCCGTGACGTGCTTCGTCGGCAGCGCGAGAAGCGAGTGGCCAAGCGTGCGCTCGAGGAGTCTGCCGCCCGCGACCTCCGGCGAGCGGCCGAGACCAAGCTCCTCGACTCGCTTGCCCAGGAGCGCGACCAAGTCTGCTCGCTCCTCCGCATGCGTAATCTCATGCTCGAGCTCCTCGACGTGACCCTGCCTGACCGCGAGCAGCTTGATGCTGAGGCTGCGGGTCTCCGCGACGAGTCGCCGTTCGACTGGGACGCCGTCGCCGCCCGCCAGGCCACCCGCCAAGAGCTTGTCCTTCGCCGCCGCCGCCAGATGGGTAAGCTTCTTGACCAAATGGAGGTTGCTCGGAGGCAGGAGGCTGTCTGGCTCGAGCTGGATCGAGCACAGATGTTCGAGGCCTCCATCAAGGACATCGACGTGCTGACTACTCAGCTCAATCTGAGCCAGAACGCGTCACGCGCACAACCGGCCGCCGCGCTGTCATCGTCCGAGACCTCTGCCGCGTCCGAGAGCGAGGACGGGTCGTCGCCGTTCGTGCCGAAGGCGTCGCCGCGACGGAAGCTCCCGCGGCCGACGCCGCCGTCGCCGGCACGTCCCAAGCGGACCAGTCACCGTGCGGCTGCACGCATTGCCCCCCACCACCCTCCATCATTGCGCACCCACGGAGCGCACACTGCCCTCACCAAGGCTTTTCTCGACTCGATGCAGCTCGAGTAGCAGCTCCGCGCTAGCCGCGCAGGCGCGCGGTACACGGCTCCCGTCCCGAAAAAAGTATTGCGCTAGCACCCACGAAAGACCATTCGACGCCACGCTCCGGTCATGGTACGTACACAAGCGGGCGACAGAGGGTAGCGAGCAATACAGCGAGCAATGTCGTTAGTAGAAAGGTGCTGAGCTACATATTAGTGCCTTTAGGGTGGTTAGGGGATGCTTAGGCGTGTCAGGCGGAGTTGTTGCTCGTGCGGAAGTCGGAGCTTGTCAGCTTCTCCGTGTGTGGCACGTCGTGCGGGACCACGATTTACCCATGGGCGCACAGACAAGGATGGGCCGCGCGTTTAGCGGGCTAAGAGTGCACGAGATGACCACTGTCATTGTGCTGTTGTGCTTGCTGAGCATGGGTGCGAGTGAGCGGCCAGTCGGCATGCCTGACGCGGCCGAGTGCCTGTTCACGAGCATGCCAACTCCCGAGTCAAACATGAACCAGACTACCACCAGCATTCGGTACCGCGGGCTGTCTATGAGCAACTTGACCGGCATTGTGACGCGTGTGACGTACGGATGGTTTGTGCCGCACGGCATCAACACCACGATCTTTGTCTCGAGCATTCCTAATCCGGCCACCAAGGTGTCGGACCCGGCGGAGCGGCAAGGAACGTGGTCTCTGGTCTACAATCAGCAGGCGTCGCTGGTCCAAGTCCCGCAGCGGCCGTCGCGGTACTACGACGACCTTGTCCCAGGCATCCGCATTGAGGCTGGAATGCGAGCTGCTATTGGCTTTACCGTTGAAGCCGGGTACACATGGCCGATCTACTCTTTCGGCATGGAGCTGGTGGTGAGGTGCGGCGAGACAGACTACGACATCGACATGTTCTTTTCTCAGAGCACGGCGCCGCCGATGTACAGCTACCGTGGGATCGGGAACCTTGTCGGGCAAGACATCGAGGTGACGGTCAAGCCGTACTGCACACAGCTTCCGCCGCTGTTTGAGGCGCAGTCGATTGCGCCGTCGCTCGACGGATACGAGGTCTATCCCGCGGGCAGCTACACCGTGGTGTGCTCGACAGGCACGCCTGCCATCGCAACGCTGACGTGCAATGCAACGACACTGGCCTGGAGCGCTGGCGCGCCGTGCGAGTGCTCGCCGGCGCAGCTACCGGATGTTGCCAATGGCGGCGTGACGCTCATCGCATCACTTGCGCCGTACATCGGGTACAGCTTCTCGTGCGATGTGGGCTTTCACGCGCTGAACAACCCGATCCGCAACACCACGTGTGTAGGCGGAGTGTGGACACCAGACCCTTTCACTCCTGCGTATCCTGCCTGCGTCCGCAAAGCGTGCCCAGCGCTGCCGACAGTGGCCGGGCGGACGCTGTCGGCAACGAGCGGTGTCTACGAGGATGTGATTACCGTCAGCTGCGCGAAGGGGTATGTGCTTGAGGGATCAGCCAACTCGAGCTGTGATGCCAACGGAGCTTGGTTCCCACCGGTTGGCGTCTGTCGCATCGTGCAGTGTGCGGGATACTCGGTGGTCAACGCGGTGACGAGCTGCGCCACGAGCAACTACACGAGTGTGTGCGACGTCGACTGCGGGCCGGTCAATCTTGCCGGCCCGCGCAACAAGACGTGCTCAGCGAGCGGCGAGTGGATCCCGGCTGCACTCCAGCGGTGCACCAGCATCGACTGCGGACCGTGCCCAGTGGCGACCGGCAACTCGACGGTCTCGACGCCAGACATCCCGGGCACGCTCGAGTCGAACCGATGCTTTACATCGTGCGATGCCGGGTTCTCGCTCTTTGGCCCGCCGGCGCGGGTGTGCAACGGATCAGCCGAATGGGCCAGCAGCGGTGCAGTTGACTGCAGACTCGACTGCTTGCCGTATGCTCCGCCGACAGACGGGTATCTCGAGAGCGAGTGCGCGAGCAGCGCGTCGATGTTTGGCGCAACCTGCACTGCGAGATGCAACGTTGGCTACGGGCCAATTGTGGGTGGCGATGAGGTGCGGGTGTGCGGAGCGACGACGGAGGGCGCATGGGGCGGGAGGCGGCCAGTTGAGTGTCCGATTGTTGACTGTGGGAGGTTGGTGCTGGGCAGGGTTGCGGAGCAGAGCGCGTGGAACGGAAGCGTCGAGTGCGAGGCGACGACGTATCAATCGTCGTGCGCAGTGGTGTGCGCGAGGGGGTATGTTCTCAATGGCAACCTCTCGCGCGACGTCGGATCGCCAGCCTGTCTCGCGTCTGGAAGCTGGAGCGAGGAGCTTGCGTGCCTGCCGTGCCCGGAGGGTACGTTCTACGTGGCGCGAGCGGATCGGGCGGAGGAGGGCGCGGTGGTGTGCGCGATGTGCCCACTCGGCGGCGTGTGCGATGGCGGCGCAAGCGTGCCGCGAGCGGCGCCCGGCTGGTTCCGCAATGCAGATGGGAGTTTTCAGCCGTGTGTGCCTGCGTTTGCTTGCCAGGGCGACAATGTGTGCGCGACGGGCCACGCCGGACGGCTGTGCGCGTCTTGCTCGCCATCGCACTTTCGAACGGACGACGGCGGATGCAAGCCGTGCTCGCCGGCGACGGTGTACTTGGTCATTGCGCTGCTTGTCTTTCTGGTACTGATGGGCATCTTGCTGTTCAAGCTCGCCAAGCGGGCGACGGCATACTTTGCCTCGCTCTCTGTGGCGTTCAACTTTTTCCAAATCCTCGCGATTCTCTCGTCGTTTGATCTCAAGTGGCCGCGGTTTGTGCAGGCCTTTCTTGCCTTTTTCAAGGTCTTCAACTTTAACGTGGCGATCTTCAATCCCAAGTGCGCGGTGTCTGGCGGAGGCGGCTCGCCGTTTCTCTTTGTGTACTATGGCAAGCTCCTTGTGCCGTTTATTGCGCTTGCGCTCTTTGGCCTTGGGCTCGGTTGCGTGTGGGCGTACTACTATGTGTATTCTCGGTTCCTCAATCCACGGGCGTTTGACGTGTGCGCCGACTCGCGTGGCGACGTGATCGACGAGCTGGAGCATGGCGGCGAAGTCGGCCGAGCCGGGGACGACGGCAGCGGTTTTGTTGACGACGATGAGGGGCCGATGGGCGCGGGCCGGCTGGCGGCCGAGGCAAGCTCGTGCTGGCCGCATCTCAGCCGGGCCGGGGCCGAGGAGACGAGCTGGCGTTGTGTCAACGCGCTTCTCTCGTTCATGGCGCTGGTGTATCTGCTTGTGACTGCGACGGCGATGCAGATTTACGCGTGCACACAGCAGGTGGACGGGCGTATCACGCTCGATGTCGAGTCTGCGATCCTGTGCACATCTGAGACGTACCGACTGATGCGGATGGCGTCGATTGCGATGATTGTGTGCTTCTCGCTCGGGCTGCCTGCGTTCATCGCATGCCTCCTTGCAGTGCACCGGTACGATCTGTGGCGGTACAAAACAGTGGCGATGCTTGGGCTGCTCTTCCAGCGGTACTCGGCCAAGTACTACTTCTTTGAGGTCCTTGTCCTGCTGCGGCGACTCGGGTTTGTGGCAGGCCATCTGGTGTTCCCGCAGTCGCCGCTTGGGCAGGCGATTGTGGCGCTGCTGGCGGTGGTGCTTGCAGCCGTGGCGCAGGGGCTTCTGAAGCCGTATCGGGCCAAAACCGTCAACTGGCTGGAGGCGATGTGCATGGGCTTTGGGATTGTGTGCGTCGTGGTGGGCATTGTGTATTTTGCGGCTGGGAGCGCGATGCCGTCGGGAGTGAGCGATGGGCTCGGGGTCGTGCTGGTGTTGCTAATCACGGCGTCGGTTGCGATTATCGTTGTGGCGATCCTGAGCGAGGTCCGCAAGCAGTACCGGCTGAAGCACCATGGAGTGCACTCGGGTTTTGCCTCTGACCAGCTCGAGGTCTTTCCGGCGTTCTTTGAGACAGACGTGTTCATCCACACCAACGAGCGGTTCCGCGACGGGGCGACGACAATGTATCGCATCACGATGTCGACACCGATGGATGTGGCAATGGACTCTGTGCTTCTCCTGCACCGCGAGCTTGTCGACTCGTCGGCATATGTGTGGTGGCAGCTGCTTGTGCCTGGCCTCGGGCCGGAGCACGGCCGGCGAAGTGGTGAGGCGCTGTCGCTGACGGCGATGAAGGACCGGGTGCGGTATGTCTCGTACGACGGCGGGCGGCGGCACGACTTTACGGTCCTGCTGGAACGACCTGCACACTACATCCTAAGTGTGCGTGCGCGGCGCGACGAGGACTTTTTCCCGCGATCGGGTGGGAAGATGGTGGCCGCATCTGAGCGGAGCGAGGAGCTCATCACTTTCCACATCTCGACCGAGTCTGGGTCTGTGGCGGAGCAGGGCTTTGTGGAGTGCAGCGATGTGCTCGCGGAGCACTCAGGCTTTGTCATTGCGCCGGCGCAGCGGGTGCTGACGCTCGGATCGAGCTACGGGTTCAAGGTGTATGTGGAGAGCGCGCGGTACGTGGCGGTCTCCGCGTCTGCGCCGGACCACCACAGCTCGGCCGAGTGCCGGCTGATGCTCAAGGGCGGCAAGTTCCAGGGCTCGTACACGCCGCACGGGCCTGGGCCTGTGGCAATCTGGGCCGACTTTGGCCTCGCCTCGCTGTTTGATGCGTCGACGCCGCGCGGGCGGTCGGGCTCGGACAGCGTGACAGCCGGCGTGGCGTCGAGTGGCGGGAGCCGCGGCTCGGGCGTTGCGCAGTTTGTGGCGCTGGCGTGGTATGATGTAGTCCGTCCACACGCCGACCTCATCTCGCGCGACGTCAAGCGCTACAGCATTGCGGGGCTAGACGAGCTGGAGCTTGACGACATATACATTGGAAGCGAGTGAAGAAGGTCTGGTGTGGTTTGCGTTCATTTATAGACGGTGGAGAAGGAGAAAAAAAAAGGCAAGGCAGATGGGCTGAGACGTCTGTGATGCAGAGAGATTGGCTCGAGTGAGTAGAGGGCGGGGGGGGGGGGTAGGAGAGACGGGAGAAGGGGGTGCAAGAGAGGGGGAGAGAGTGTGTGGAAGTGTAGAGAAACCGGCTCTGGGTTTTGGCTCTTCCCCCCGATGCAGGAATGCACCGAACGGACCGCCGCGGTTCTCGTTGATCTGGGCCCGTCCCAGTTACACGAATCTATGGTCAGCACGGTGTCAAACGCGCCAACAAGAGCCGATGTGGTAAAACAGGTCCTTTGTGGTATAGAGGGCAAGGGGGAAGAATGAGGAAGCAGAACGAAGGGGGGGGGTTGTGTGATGCAGAATTGTATGGCGTACCAGAAAAAATATGTGTGTGCGCGCGG